CCCCCCCCCCGTCACGGTGCTTCCTTCTTTCCTCCTTCCAGACCTGCCTCCTGTCTCCACCAGCTCACTCCGTCCCTCAGACACGATGACCCATGCCACTCAGGTTCCTGTCCAGAGACCCCGGGGCTGCTGGGTGACCGTGGCCATCCAGCTCCTCCCCCCTCCCCCATGCGGAACCACAGCCCACAAGCGAACTCGGGCCCCACAGAATCAATCCCGCGGTCCCCGGATGTGGTCCCCTTGCTTACAATGGGGTGAGTTGAGGGAGGGGACGGCCGCCACGCTGATGGATCGTCACGCACCATGTGAACACAAGGCCTTTCCAGGTCACTCGACATCTTCTGCCTGAGAGTGGGCCAGGGGCCCCCCTCAGGGTCGTGGGCATGATGTCAGGTCCCTGCATGATGGTCCGGGTGTCCTCACTTCCTTCTTCCCTGACTTCCTCTCTGGGCTGTAGCCCTGTTGAGCTCTGATTTTTATTTTATTTTATTTTACTTTTTTGAGAGAGAGAGAGAGAGTGAGAGAGAGCGAGAGCAACCATGAATGGGGGAGGGGCAGAGAGAGAGAGGGAGACAAAGAATCCGAAGCAGGCTCCAGGCTCGGAGCTGTCAGCACACAGCCCGACGCGGGGCTCGAACCCACAAACCGTGAGATCGTGACCTGAGCCGAAGTCGGTCGCTTAACCCACTGAGCCACCAAGGCGCCCCTGATTATTGTCATTAATAAAATGTGTCTGAAACAGCCACCCCTCCGAGTGTAAGGGTTCAGGGACGGAACAGCCCACATGGTCACTGCACACACCTTTCCCCTCTTCCGCACTGGCAGGAAGGCCGCTGTGCCCCGCACCTGGGCGCGTCTCCCCTGCAGCCCCAGGATGATCAGGGGGAAGTGAACTTTCCAAAGGGAAGACCCGGCCTCAGAGAAGCCCCACCGGCCCCTGCCGCGGGGCACAGCGTCCCTCACGCGTCACCGTATGCCACGCTTGCACCCTTCTCTCTTATGGCCTCAAGATCACTCCATCTCGCAGGTGAGGAAACTGAGGCTGGGAGCAGTTAAGCAATTTGGCCAAGGCCACACAGGAAGAAAGAGAGCGCGTTTCAAATACAACTAGTCGAGCCGGCCTTCGCGCTGTCTCTGCCACACCCCCCCCCCCCCCCCCCCGCCAGACTCAGTGGGTCACCGAACGTGGGGGCTGGCAGTGCAGCAGGGGTCCGGCAGCCCGCCCCCGTGTTCGCCCTGCTAACTCCAGGGCTGCGGAGCCCCGGGGCCGCCTGGGACAGATGGCGAAGGGGATGTGAGCTGTCCGGTGAAGCCCCCAGGAAACCATGACTTGGAAACCCAGAGGGAGGCTGAAGGAGGGGAAGGATGGGATGGCTCGGCTAGACAGGACGCACACTTGACATTGGAGAGAGCATAGTCGCTCGAAAAGTGTGCTGGCTTCAAGCATGCTTCATCCCGTACAGCCAAGCATCTGTCCATGCATCCGTCTGTCCGTCTATCCATCCACCCACCCACCAACCACACATGTAACCATACATTTAACCTTTCACTGGCCATCCATCCATCCACCCACCATCCATTCCCTCCATAAGAATTTACGATGAAGCCCCTCCCCTGTGCTGGGAGCCATCCTCAAGAAGCTTGGCCCTGTAGAAACAACTGCAACACGACGAAGGTTGGCGGGGCTGTGCC